CTTTTGATTACCCCATTACATATGTACACCACGCAGTGCTATAGAAATAACTTTTTTATACCACATTTTGATATAATTTTTACATATCATTAAATAAGTTGATACATTTAATATTATGATTAAAAAAACCAATTATTTAAATGATACATTAGGTTGTCCTAAAAGGTGGTATAAAAAGGTCGTCTCAAAAGGTGGTACAAAAAGGTTATCCCAAAAAGTGGTACAAACAAATGATACAAAAAGGTTGTCCCAAAAAGTAATATAAAAATATTGTCCCAAAAGGTGGTACAAAAAGGTTATCCCAAAAAGTGGTACAAACAAATGATACAAAAAGGTTGTCCTAAAATCATTTCTTTATGTACACTATGGCTGGCTAGCCCAACATTTTGAATTGATGATGAAATTACTTAAAAGTTGACCTTCTTCATATATAAAAAGTAGTAATACAGAGGAAATTTTTTTATATAATTTTTATATATCGTTAAGTAAATAAATATATTTAATAGTATGGACTTTAAATAATAAAAAATTAATTATTTAAATAATATATAAAATTATAAAAAAATAAAAATTTATTTATAAATTCTAAATATGTATAATTTTAGGCAAACACGTGTGCTACTGCTAAACGTTCACTACATTGTTGTCATCTTTTGAAGTTATCAAATCTATCAAATCAAGACAAGTAATGACAAATAATTTGTTATTTTATATTGTTGTTGATTTGCCTCCCTTTAGTTTTGTGCAGTTGCGCTTTTAATGTATTTATAAAATTAGAAAACTGTTTTTTAGTACAGACTGTAAAAAAATTGGTTTAAGTACCATTTTGGTCCCTCAACTATTCACTTTGGTACCAAAATTGTCCCTCAGCTTTAAAAGGTACCAAAATTATCCTCAAACTTTTATTTTTGGTACCAAAATGGTCCTTCCGTCAGTTAAATGACAGGTGGCACGTTATCTTGCCACAAAATTACATTTTAAAAAAATTAATAATTACATGGAAAACCCACGTAACGTTATTTGATGAGATGGCACTTTTGTTTTTACACGTGGCATTTTTTTATTTAAATAAAGACATACATAATTTATTATTATATTATTATTATTATTCTTCTTCTTCCTCCCTTCTCTCTCTCATCCCTCTGCCCCTTCCGTCAGTTAAATGACAGGTGGCACGTTATCTTGCCACAAAATTACATTTTAAAAAAATTAATAATTACATGGAAAACCCACGTAACGTTA